AACTCAACTGAATTCCAGGCGCGCCGGTTCGCCTATTTAGCGTCAGCCATTTAGTAGGGGACGCCGCATCGTTATCATTTATGTAAATTGTTAGTGCAGCAGATAACCGAACGATTTTGGGACCAAGTCAATAAGATAAACAATCATTGTCAGTTGGCTCCATTCCTCTATTCAGCGACTAATTTACGGGACAACAATTGTAGTGGTTAAGAGATACATATACGGCCTGGCGTTACACCAGCCGCCCTTACCAGGAAAATAGTCCAGTCGTTACCATTATATCGAATGGGGTAGATTATTACTACTAATTGTCATTATTGGCATCATGCCCCGCACCAGTGAGAGCTGCGACGAGTCCACTTCTAGGACACATGCAATAGTGTATGACGCCTATTTACTGTAAAGTTTCTACAGCACCAGCCCAGATCTCCCGACTGCTCTGTGAGCGCTGGGTTTACTGCCCCCATAAATGAGACAGCGACGGCTGGCCATGCGTGGCCGTAATTACCTCTCCATGGAAGCGAGCTGAAGCGTGTTGGTACGGTATACACAATCGACTGGATTACACTTTTTCAATTGTCGGGGAATGAGAAATAAGTGCTGTCCTCCCTGTCCCGGTCAAGGTAGTGCGATTGTACTTAAGGCAGTGTTGGTCGTTGCATGGAGATACCACCTGCATGCCTCCACACATTTTCGAATGGTTGGAGACGTGCCATTGGCTGGCTGAAGGTCAGATCCAGTTTGGGGGCCCGTACTGTCGTGAGCCGGCAGTGAAACGGGCAGGCGTCGTTGTTCGATTGCCTGTGCTGCCGCTGGTGAGAAGCGGCGGTGCAGGGTGCGTGCCTGATTAGCTAACCCGGATGTAGGGTGATGCATCACGCTGACGCCGTTGATAGATATCCGGGTGAAGTCCGCTGTGGTATTCCGGACGGTCCCGATGTTGTTTTCCGGGTGTAGTCTGCTGTGGTATTCCAGACGTACCCCGTTATGTTGCCGGGTTAAGTCCGCTGTGGTATTCCGGACAGTCCCGATGTGGTTTTCCGGGAGTAGTCTGCTGTGGTATTCCAGACGTACCCCGTTATGTTGCCGGGTTAAGTCCGCTGTGGTATTCCGGACAGTCCCGATGTGGTTTTCCGGGTGTAGTCTGCTGTGGTATTCCAGACGTACCCCGTTATGTTGCCGGGTTAAGTCCGCTGTGGTATTCCGGACAGTCCCGATGTGGTTTTCCGGGTGTAGTCTGCTGTGGTATTCCAGACGTACCCCGTTATGTTGCCGGGTCAAGTCCGCTGTGGTATTCCGGACAGTCCCGATGTGGTTTTCTGGGTGTAGTCTGCTGTGGTATTCCAGACGTTCCCCGTTATGTTGCTGGGTTAAGTCCGCTGTGGTATTCCGGACAGTCCCGATGTGGTTTTCCGGGTGTAGTCTGCTGTGGTATTCCAGACGTACCCCGTTACGGATTCCGGGAGTAGTCCGCTGTGGTTTTCCGGACGTACCCCGAGGTGGTTAGAGTTCCGTGAGTCTAAGGAATCACGACAAAAGGGTATCTCATGTAACGGGGCTACATGGTGGTGCCATGATTAGCCGCTTGGAGGGGGCTACTAATTTCTGGGATCCACTTCCGAAGTATGGTTGTCGTGCGAATGTGATTATTACTAGCTCGTTCCGGAAGCTCCTAATTGCCCTCAGAGTAGGCCGACTCTGTGGTCAATTTCGGCTATAGGTTGCTTCCAGGATGACCTGGATAATGAACGGGAGGTGAATGCATGTAATAATGTCAGTTGCGGAAGCCCAGAGATAATGATGCTAGCTGCCCACCCCGACCATTTAACACTTGCCAAAAAGTCAGATGAACTACTCTTGATCGATATTGTTTGTGACCGCTCTGAGTGGGCCTGTATTGCCCGGGCGTGTCCACCAGTCGCACAGCATCACCAGCTGCTCGTTTATGACGCTGAACAGTGAAATCGATACTCAACCCCAGAGAGAATAGCACGGCTCTCAGTACGGCCGACCGACAATGCGCAGGTGCCACTGCACTCATCGCTTGGTAACAATCCAAATCGGTAATCGTTTTACAACCGCGCCGAGCCGCGCGCGCCGGCAGGACCGGCGAGGCGTCATTTTATTGTGACTATTGTCTCGTTCCACCCAGTACAGAATTGACAAGTGTCACCACCACGTACTTGACTGATACAACTTTGGCTCGTAACGAAACGAATTAGTAACTTGCTTTTAGCCTGTTCTCTCCGCGCGTCTAACAAAGTCTCGTCAGGTCACCCGGGCCGACAAGTTTTACAAGTAAGACAGTAGTACTGAGCAGGTGCGGCCGGGATCATTCGGCGTGTCCGCTAGCCGTTTTATGGCATGAACGCCGAATCGATAGTTGTCGAAACTAAACAGCCTCCTCTCTCTCTCTCCCTCTCTCTCTCTCTCTCTCCCTCTCTCCCACTCTCTCTCTTCTCTTCTCTCTCTCTCTCTCTCTCTCTCTCTCTCTCTCTCTCTCTCTCTCTCTCTCTCTCTCTCTCTCTCTCTCTCTCTCTCTCTCTCTCTCTCTCTCTCTCACTCACTCACTCACTCTTATTCTTTCTCTTTCACTCTTCCTCTCCCTCCCTCTGTCTTCATAGTTCCGTAACGTGCTTGTAGCGGAACAGTACATGAGGCTATTGAGTTTTCCTGGCATTATTGGTGCACTTTGTTTGGTTTAATTTACCTATGATGCGTAGGCACTGAACGTTTACCGAGATACGAGAGTGCAAATTGGCACAATTCAGACTTTAACAAAATTAGTCAGTCACGACAGCTTGTTGCTTTTATGCATTTTGGGCTTTGGGAATCTAAACTGCTTAATGATCTGCCGACAAACTGACGGGCGAGCGTGAGAGGCGTTACGCGGCGACGATGATGTTGAACAAAGAAAACAGGAAGACTAGTTGAGAGCATTACGACCAGAACCAAAGGAAACAGGAAGAAAATCACGGTACCACGACAAAAATCAACATCGCATCATCACATCGAAATATCAATACATTAATCGGAAACGCCGCGTAACAGAGGGAAATACCAACTTTTTACCGATTTCTTAGCCTCTTATACATTAGTGAGGGTTCATCATACCAACAAAATACCAAACACATTACGATTGGAATACCAAATACCAAGTTGGTATCGGTTTGGTATCGGTATACCAAAAAGTTGGTATCCCGGGGGTCACCCGGGGAGATACGAAGGGCCATGGGTCATTTGGTAAAGGACAGGGACAGAAGTTATCTGGAGAAGGACGGATGGTCAGAGGTCACCTGGGGCTCTACAGAGGGTCAGCTGTCAGGAGTGAGCCAGAATGTCCGAGGTTGTTTGGATTTGTTCAGAAGGCACTCAGGAAGAGTCAGAGGTCATCTACCAAGGAATAAAAGTAAATGTCACGGGAGGAAGTTTCAGAGTCACATGACAAAATTTGTTACCTGAATATCTTATCGCTTAGAAAAGGAACAAAATAAAAAGCAAAAAAGACATTGTAAATAAATGTAAAACTATTTCCTATACGAGTCACAAAAAAAGCGATGCTTCTGCTACGAATGCAGCATATACAGAGCATAAATCAACTTAAAATCACCATCACATTTCTGACAGGAAATCCTCATACACAACACAAAACCTTTTCCGTCACACGAACTGACGCCTGGCATACTTTGCATGCTTTGAGCCGCGTGCCAAATCCAATGCCTGCAGCCGGCACCCATAAACGGAGCACTAGACTCTCGGGGAGTGCCGGCCGTTGTCGAACCCAACCCAATTACACTGTTTGTGCATCGGTGCCACTGTGCCGACGGCGTCAGGGGAGTGTGCGCTGTTGCTTCGAAATGCAAGGTGTTTGGATGTCGCACAAGTGGATTACGGATCCTGTGTGATCGAAAAAAGCGGGATTTCCCAAAGGTATAAGGAAATGCGCGATGTTCCGTACGTTTTAACAAAAAAAAAAATGATGTGCCGCGTTGCTATCTTTAGTATCGCATATTTTGAGGGAAAAATGCTAAGCGAAAAATATAAAGCATTCCTACTTGTGAAAAAACGTGGCGTCATATATTTTCGCTAACAAACACGCTGCTATCCGGGCATCGTTCGTCATTCACTTGCCTCCTTCCCGTCGTCCAATTCCTGGCCACTGACCGGCCTCTGACCCTCCCCTCCCCCACCCAAAGAGGAGTCTCCGTGTGGAGAAGGGAGGCCAGTGTCGCGCCTAAGCGAACGTCTCTGGGGCGCAACGACGAGCCTTCGGATCCAATGGGATCGGACCAGGCACGACCGGTCCGCCGGCTGGTCGGCGCGGCCCGCGCAGTGGCCCGGCAGGCCCTCTCGGGATTATACTTCCAATACGACCCCACCATCGACCGAGCCGACTCCGTTTTGGCCCGGTCCGCTGCACAGGTGGTCATCGGCGGTCAAGGAACGTGGCGGCGCAGATAGTGGAAAGTTTCAGATGGTAGGAGCCTCGCGCGGGCGCGGCCCTTCATTGAGATGGTTATCAGAAAGCAAAGGACGGAAATGAGATGGGCTTTCTTGGCTTGTGGAGAGCTGAGGTGCCAGTTGCGTACAGTATAGTTGTTTGCTTTTCTAATTTTCAATGGATATAGTGAGGGCACCATTTATAAAATATTACAAATGAAAATTGGCAAATTGCAGACTTATAAAAAAGGAATGAAACCTGCGTTCGTTCTTACGGGCTCTGTAATAAGCTGACACTTCAATAACGGGCGACGCGGATATCAGTGTGAATGTTTGTTAAACTATTTGTAGAGCGTAAGCCAGAGCAGCCTGTAGGAGGCTAAAGGTAAAGACAGCCTGTAGGCGCAGCCTTATTCAATTACCAGGCTGGCTGTCACTAAAACCATACACACCCCATCTCGGTCAGAGCGTAGGCGACAGTGAGGGGTCACGCGACTTCCTAGTTCCTGGTTATATGTCAGTGGGCCGTTTCCAGCTGCGAACCATGTAGGTATACGTACCGGGTAGGAGGCGGCAGACGGCGGTGGCTGACCGCTGACAGTCTGTGGTCTGACGAACGACCGGAGGGGAACCTCGCACCTCCACGGCGACGCATTCTGCACCGCCACTGTCGGTGTCGATGTTAGGCATAAAGCTGATGTCCTCGCTGCCGTAAAAGCTGCCGTCGTCCTCAGCAGGGCCTCTGGTGCTGATATGAACGTCTGGATTGGTGGTGATGGTGGTGCCGTTGGTGCTACTGGTGGCTCTGGTGATGCTCTCAGTGACGAAGGAGGGTGGTTGAACCCAGTAGGAGCCGCTCCCCAGCACCTCGGAGAGCTGCTCTAGCTCGCCGACGTTGGCCGGCACACCCTGGCAGAGAGGTCAGTAAGTACGCCGGGAAACGCCAGCACCTCTAAGCAGTATAAATGTGTTTACAATGCGGCGACAGCGCCAAAAGCGTCGCTAGTTACACACCACAACACTCCTGCAGTATCCAGTGCGGTTGGGTTTAATAGTAATCATCAAAGAACCTAGCCCGACAGTATCATTTACTTTTTGCACGCTGCATTTGAATTTGACATGCAAACTGAGACGTTATTTCATAACAGGAACAATACATTCGGCAACAAAATTGATCCATGGTAAATCCGTTGCGACAATTTGCACCACGACTCACCTTTTGCCTTCCGCACGTGTCGCGGACACCGCTGTAGGGCACGGTGGGGCTGCGGACGACCGTGAAACAGGTGCCATCTGACGTGCAGTGCCGCTCCTCTGGAACACAGGTAAGGTGCTGTTAACGCGCAGTGGAAGGGGGGGGGGGCGGATTTCGCCCACCCCTCCTGTTTTTCGCCAATAACTCGCGCCGCAACCATAATATTGATGTGAAATTCCGGCTACCTATCCAGTATTGAATTGTTGATCTTCTCGCGCAAGAATTAAGAAAATCGGTTCATAACTTTTCTAGTAATAGCGGTGTAAGGTCAAACATCCTGCCGCCGCGGCGGCGCGGCAGCCGGCGCCGCCGTTATGCGCCGCCTGAATTGTAGACTCTGCTGGGGCGGGATGGTTCAGTCTTTACATCGCGCTCCTTAGCGCTGATTATAGTTGATACACGTCAAATTTTGTGAGAAGGGTAAGAAATGTACAGGCAATTGTATGGTCAAAAAGTTTTGAAAAACCGGCGGTAAAAACTTGAGTTATGAGTGTGTAAACACAAAATTGCTATTGCTGCGTTTCCCGCGTCGGGCGATCCCGCTCCAGCCGGCAACATCTTACCCTTAGCAGGCTTCTAAATGCCATATTTACGAGTATTGTTGGATTAGCTAGAAATTCACCATACATACTCACAAATGTATTTTCTTTCGTGAAGTGGAGGAAAAAAGGAAATCAGCTGGAAACTTTTTCAGTTATCGGCGTGTAAACGCAAAAAAGTTGCTCACATGGCAGATTTAACCACACTTGACCTCATTTGACCTTGAAGATATTAACACGCGCAGTGGAAGGGGGGCGGATTCCGCCCACCCCTCCTGTTTTTCGCCAATAACTCGCGCCGCAAACATAATATTAATGTGAAATTTCGGCTACCTGTCCAGAATTGAACTGCGGATCTTCTCGGGCAAAAAATAAGAAAATCGGGTCACAACTTTTCTAGTAATAGCGGTGTAAAGTCAAACATCCTGTCACCGCGGCGGCGCGGCGGCGCGGCGGCCGGCGCTAGCCGTTACGCGCCGCCTGAATTGTAGACTGTGCCGGGGCGGGACGGTTCCGTCTTTACATCGCGCTCCTTACCGCTGATTATATTCGATTAGCGTCAAACTTTGTGAGAAGACTAAGAAATGTACAGGCAATCTCATGGTCAAAGAATTTTGAAAATCAACCGGTAACAACTTGAGTTATGAGTGTGTAAACATAAAATTGTGATTGCCACGTTTCCCGCATCGGCCGATCCCGCTTCAGCCGGCGACATCTTACCCTTAGCAGGTTCTAGCTGCCATATTTATTGTTGGATTAACTAGAAATTCACCAAAAATGTATGCACTTTCGTATAGTGAGAAAAAAAATCGGCCGGTAACTTTTTGCGTTATTGGCGTGTAAACACAAAAAAAGTCGCTCATATGGCAGATTTGACCACATTTTACCTCATGTGACCTTGAAGATATTGACCTAGGGTCATGAAATTCACACACAACAGAGTTCCCCAGGGCCTTCACCTACCCTCCAAATTTCGTCTTTCTAGCTCCAGTGGGAGCTGAGATCTTAGGGGGGGGGGGCGACATCCGCCCCCCCTTCCACTGGGCGTAGTACTCGCAACCCTTCCACTGCGAGGGTTAACTGAGGTGTGGATGTGTCACAGACGAGGTCAGTCAGTCGAGCCATCGACCGGGAACGGGCGGTAACGGATATTGATGGACCAGTTATCGACGTTAATGGGGTTTTAAACGGTATTTGTGCCACTTTAACGAATCAAAATCGATTCGAAAATTAGATTTGTGGTAGAGTTTCAGTCTTCAAACAGATTCCGTGGCGACATGGTATTTGTGCAGGTTTTGGATGATAACAATCCAAAGCCGAGGAGAGAGAGAGAGAGAGAGAGAGAGAGAGAGAGAGAGAGAGAGAGAGAGAGAGAGAGAGAGAGAGAGAGAGAGAGAGAGAGAGAGAGAGAGAGAGAGAAAGAGAGAGAAAGAGAGAGAGAGAGAGAAGAGAGAGAGAGAGAGAGAGAGAGAGAGAGAGAGAGAGAGAGAGAGAGAGAGAGAGAGAGAGAGAGAGAGAGAGATATGGAGAGAAAGCTAGGAAAGAAGAAAGATATATCATTTGAATATCGGCGTTTAGCGCAGCTAGGAGCTTTTTCCAATCGTATACGAGCGAAAAATTTTGTGGTACCATGACTTCTCTGTTTGGCCCTCTAGGGGCAATGAACCAGCGCGCGGCCGCTGCGCAGCCAAGACGTCCGTCGCGGTCACGTGACTTAGGCTAGGGGACGCGCGCCCGCGATAACGTTGTGTCCCATTTCTGCCTGGTCTGTCTGGCGACACACGCGTTGCCGTCCGCCTCCCCGCCGCCGCCATGTCATGTTATTCGCTTGTTGCGTGTTATACCTCATCGGGCTGTCACCTCACCCAAAGACGCTGTTTTCGTGAGAATATAGCCCCGAATCACTTTCGCACCGTCTTTGCTAGCGCGTAGGAGCATTGGAAAAAATCAGCATTGCAAATCTTATCGTATTCACCTTTCATCTCGACGGTGCCAAATAGAAATTTAACGCAAGTGAACAAATTTTACTGTTTAGCTTTAGACACGGTGCATAAACATAAAACAGCCCGCAGCCGAGCACAGCTCGACTCTGTATGGAGGTGTGAGTATGGAACCACTGCATGTTCTGCCTGCCCAATGCCCATAACCTTAGTCTGCCTATGAACGTCAGTCCATATCGTGGCCCGGCTGCCCCTGTGGCTGGTTCTGGCCAGGCCGGCCCGTTCCTAACGTGTAGTCTGTCCGAGCGGCAGTAGCGGCAGTGCAGGAGGCGGGCGTTCCTGATTGTTCCATTCGTTGGCGGCGAAGGCCCGTCCTGGTCCGCCGGCCGTGCGGTGGCCAGTCCCAAAGGTCAGCGAGCCGGTCGATCGACGACTGAGGTGCCGACAAAGGACCTCTCGTGGGCACGACGAACGACGCAGACGACGAGACAGGTATGTGTGCTATTATGCGGACCTCTGGCCAGGCCTCTCAACTAGAACAGCAGGTAGATGCATGTTTGTATTTATTGCATGTGTCCAGCGGCAGCCTAACATGCTCCCCAGTACAGGATTATGCTCGTAGCCAGGCCAAGGGCCGTAAAACCCGATATACTGACGGCCATTAGGCCATTGAAAACCTATAAAAAACGGGGCTGAAAACAGACTTTTTGTATTAGTCTGGCGCGGTGACAGGCTGACAAAACGAATACGGCATCCGCTTTGGTTGAATGAGGTTTGCATGACAGTACTGGAAACTGTTAAAGTGAGAAAGCCAAGACGGGCTGTTTTTGCCACTCCAGACTTTCTAGTTACAGATGCCGTGCCGGCTAAATGAGGTGTTTTGTCGCGAACCAATCCCGTTTTATGATAACATAACCGCGGCTGTGAAATAAACTTGAACTCGCACCGTAGCTGCCTTTATTTTGTGCGAAGATATGCCACATACCTACTATTTGTAACGCTTATGAATGTGAATGCAACCATGTAAACCGGTCACTGATGCGTTATAGGTACTAAACAATAGTTTTCTTCCATCCGTAAATACTGATCACAGATGTCAGTGCCACAACAGACACGAGTGAACGCTGTGCAAACATTTGTGCGCTTCAGCATACGCTGCCACTGCAGGAAATGTCGTTGGGTGACCTGAGGCACGTTTGGATAGTTCGCCGCCGGTTCACTAAGGCCTGGCTACACTATGTGTTTTCTGCGTGCGTTTTTTGCGGGTTTGCGTTTTTTGCGTAATATCGTTCTAGAAAAAAAGTGATAAATAATATAAGTTTTACATTAGTTATATACAAAAGTTATTAAAACTCTTATATTAACCAAAAAAAACATCACAAAACATTAACAAACATTAACAAACAACATGTGTTTTTGTTTTTGTTGACACCGAAGGTACGAGGGGGTATCGGAAAGTTCTGATCATCACATAGAAGATGTAGACCGATTTTGATGATTTTTGGTTGGTATTATATTTGGTTCTTAAGAACAATGTTCCCGCAAAGAGAATCCTGAGAAGTGGTTTTATCTTATGTAGGAGAGACTTAGAAGTAAAAAAGATGAGTATTGGGCCCATTGAGGACCGAACCGTCATCCAACTAATGCATTTGAAACGGTATCACACTGAGAAAATACACCAAGAACGTGAAATCAGTTGATGGCGAGGAAAGCCCATCTCATGCACTTACCGAAAATGAAAAAAATAATTTTCAACTTGGTTGCATGGCCCTTGCAGGGGAGTCAAGAAGTGAGTGGCTACCAGTGACTGACAAGGTGGTGACTGTGAAGGAAGTGGAGGACCTCATCCTTACAGATCGTCGTGTGACCTTTCAGATGATTGTGCAACAGAAAGGTCTCAATGCTGGCAGTGCCTGAAAATATTATCAGCGAAGAACTACAGACGATTAAGGAGTCAGCCCGCTTAGAAGTTCGTGTGTCTACTTTGTTCAAGAGAAAAATGCGTCTTGGCCCTTCGAAATCCAAACTAGGCCTTTTTTAGGAAATTGAAGACATCTTCGATAATTTGATGACTTGTGACGAATGCTGGGTCTATGTGCATGATCCATAGACAAAAAGATCATCAAGAAGTTTAAGCACGGCACATATGTCCTTCTTAAAAGGCGAAGATGCAGAAGCCGATATGGAAGGTCAATGCTATCAGTGTTCTGGATCTGGCGTAGGATAGTCATTACCGACTGTCTTGATGATGGTCGGATAATGATAAGCAAGCACCACTACACACTTTTGAAGAAGTTGCGAGATGGCCTCAAACAGAATCGCCGCAAAAAAGCCCAAGAAAGATGTTTTATCCGCACCGACAGCGCTCCCGCCCATTCGTCCTGAGCTGCGATTGAAGAAAGAACATGATGTGGACATTAAATCCTACCGCATCTAAGAAATTCACCTGACCGGGTATTAACTGACTCTTGATTGTTACGGGAGATGAAGAATCCACAGTATGGCCGGTGATTTAAGGACAGAAATGACGTCATTGATGAGATGGAGCAGTGATTTACGGGACAGTGCGAAGGTCCTACA